AAAAAAAAAAAAAAAATAATAATAATAATAATATGCATCCCAGGAAATTGCAAAATAGTCAACAGGTCCTGTGTACCTTGCGTTCTTTTTCCCTCAGAGGTAACTTCTTACATAATTATAGTACATTATCAAAACCAGGAAATTGGAGATGGATCCTTTATATCTCAGATTTTATTAATTTGATATGTGTTCATTTGTGTGTGTGTTTATGTACTTTTCTCACATGTGTAGATTTGTGTAAACATAATCAAGATACAAAATATCTTTATTATCATAAAGACCTTTCTTATGCTAGCCCTTTATGGTCATATACATCATAGCTCTTGCATTCCCCCACCACCCACCGATTGTTGGCAGTGATTAATTTTTTTTCCAGCTCTATAATTTGGCATTTGAGAATGTTATATAAATGGATTCACACAGTAAGTAAACTTTTGAGATTGCCTTTTTCCATTCTGCATATTACTTTTAAGACCCATACAGGTTGTTGCATGTATCAATAGTTTCTTTTTTTATTTTAATATTTAGCTGTGTAAAGTTTCAAGAGAGTAATGATAAAACCCAGCTCATCTTTGGCTCTGTGACCAACATACAGGCAAAGGATGCAGCACCAGTGGAGGTAAATGTAGGCACATTTCTTGAGAAGTTGAAAATTATTCTGTTTCATCAGATTTTGTAGTTAAAAAATAATCTTTTAATTTGCTCGGGTTGGAAAATATATATATTTTTTTGTAGAAGATAGACACCATGCTGGTCCTGGAGGGCAGTGGGAACCTGGTGCTATACACAGGAGTAGTTCGGGTAAGCAATTCATAGCACTTCATGCCTCCATTTTTACTTTTAGTGTTACTTTAGTTTAATATTTAAAATGTGTTACCTTCCTGCCTTCACAATTTGGTATTAAATATGATATATATTGGTGGCATGTTTTTTTAAACATTTGTGAAATTTTTATAGAGAATCATGTAAATTTACAAATTTAAATCATTAATTAAATTATGAAAATGAAATAAATAAATTTGAATTTAAACACACTTACAATTTCTTTGTGTGTGTGTATGTGTTGGAGTCTTACTCTGTTGCCTAGGCTGGAGTGCAGGGGCATGCCCACACCACCGCAGCCTTGACCTGCTGGGCTCAAGTGATTCTTCCACCTCAGCCTTCCAAGTAGCTGGAACCACGGGCATGCACCACCATGTCCAGCTAATTTTTTGCTTTATTGTAGAGATGAGGTCTCGCCATGTTGCCTAGGCTGGTCTCAAACCTGTGGGCTCAGACAGTCTTCTCAACTCTGCCTCCCAAAGTGCTGGGATTGCAGGCATGAGCTGCCATGCCCGGCTCAATTTCAAGAGTAACAATTAAGTGAACATTTATATAGCCACTACTCAGGTTAAGAAATAGAATATTACCAGTATCTTTATTTTCATCATGTTCTTTTCTGATTGCCTCCCCATCTTTCTGTATTGAGAGACAGCATCTTGACTTTTATGATAAATCAGTCCCTTGTTTTCATTGCTAATTTTTGCAATTATGTGTCACTAAAGAATAAGTTGTTTAGTTTTCCTTGATTTTGATATAAAAGAAATCACACTGTATAATACTCTCCTCTAACATGGTTATTTAGCTCAACATTATATTTGTTTCACATTTATCTGTGTTTATGTGTAGCTGTTGTTTACTTATTCGTGGTTGTGTATAATACTGTACCATTGTACCTATCTTGTGCTTCGCTTTACTGTACTTCGCAGATACTGCCGTTTTTGTAGATTGAAGGTTTGTGGCAACTTTATGTTGAGCAAGTCTGTCAGTGCCATATTTCCAGCAGTGTGTGTCACGTTCATTTTATGTCTTTGTCACGTATTGGTAATTCTTGCAATATTTCAGACTTTTCCATTATTATATCCGTTATGGTAATCTGTGATCAGTGATCTTTATAATTACTATTGTAATTGTTGGGGCACCACAATCTGTGCCCATATAGGATGGGGAACTTAATTAACTCTTTGCACTCTGAGACATCTTGAGGATCATCTACCAGCAACTCAACCACACTTTTTTACAAAATAGTGAAAAACTAATCAATGTTTTGTTGTAATGATATTTGGCTTATAATGGAACATAAGACATTGAGGACCTTATTTATTATTAAAAAATTAACATTTCATATCTTATATTTTTCTTATGTGTGATAACATGATACAATCACCAACATGCATTGCGTGTTCATTGATACTTATTTTGCAATAGTAATTTTTTTGACATCTTCCGCCTGGTGTTTTTCTATTTGAGCAGACAGTGCAGTCTTGTTTTCTTCCTCCCACATCAATGGTGTGTAATTTATTGTCCAGTCTGTTTGAAGATGATGTGGAAGGACATTCTCTTTCTATGTAATGGCAGCTGATTTTTTTTTCATGTATATTGCTGTAAATATTCCATCTCTTTATTTGCTTTTTCATGCAATTTGAATGGAAAACTTCAAGGAAACATACATTTTTGAAAAACTTGTGCTGGTATAAGTTTTTTTTATATAATCTCCAACAATCTTTTTATTTCCCCTAAGAGGGGACGTCTGAGTGGTTTGCTAGATTTCCGAGAGGGGACATTGAGTGCAAAGGGTTAATAAATGATATGTGTCTTCTGCCGACTCCATCTACTGGCTATTCAACCTGTCTCTCGCCCTCTTATTGGCCTCCCTATTCCCTTAGTCACAACAGTAATGAAATTAGGCCAATTAATAAATATACAGTAGCCTCTAAGTGTTCAAGTGAAAGGAAGAGTCACACATTCTCATTTTTAAGTGAAAAGCTAGAAACAATTAAGCTTATTGAGGAAGGGATGTTGAAAGGCCTCTCAACCCAGAGAGGTCGAAAGCTAGGTCTCTTGCTTCAAGCAGTTAGCTAAGTTGTGAGTGTAAAGGAAAAACTCCTGAAGGAAATTAAAAGTGCTATTCCAGTGAACATGGGGCTGAAAAAATGAAATAACCTTATTGCTGATAATGGAGAAAGTTTTAGTGGTCTGGATAGAAAATCAAACAAGCCACAGCATTCCTGTAATCCAAAGTCCAATCCACAGCAAGGTCCTAACACTCTTCAATTCTGTGAAGGCTAAGTGAGGTGGGTAAGCTACAGAAGGAAAGTTGGAAGCTAGCAGGGGTTAGTTCTTGAGGTTTAAGGAAAGAAAATGTTTCTATAACATACAGGTGCAAGGTGAAGCAGCAAGTGCTGATGTAAAAGCTACTAAAACAATTGATGAAGGCAGCTATATTAAACAGTAGATTTTCAGTGTGGTTGAAACAACTTCTTATTGGGAGAAAATGTTATCTACAACTTTCATAGCTAGAGGGGAAAAGTCTTGGCTTCAAAGCTTCAAAAGACAGGCTTTCTGTTAGGTGCTAATACAGCTGGTGACTTTAAATCGAAGCCAGTTCTCATTTGCCATTCCAGAAATCCTAGGGCACTTAAGATGTTCTGTATGCCTATGTTCTGTAAATGGAACAACAAAGCCTGGATGATGTTTCCATTATGTTTTACTGACTATTTTAAGCCCATTATTGCGACCTACTATTTACAAAGAGCATTCTTTTCACAATATTGCTGCTCATTGACAACGCATCTGGTTACAGATGTATAGGAGATGAATGTTGTTTTCATGCCTGCTAACACAACATCCATTCTGCAGCCCATCAAGGAGTAATTTTGACTTCTGAGTTATGCTTTTTTGTGTGTCAGTCTCTCTCTGTCTCCCAGGCTGAAGTGCAGTGCCACTCTCACAGTCACCGCAGCCTCGACCTGCTGGGTTCAGGTGATCCTTCCATTTCAGTCTTCCAAGTAGCTAGAACTACAGGCACATGCCACCATGCCTGTAGAGAAGAGGTCTCGCCATGTTGCCCAGGCTGGTCTCGAACCTGTGGGCTCAGGCAATCCTCTCGCCTCTGCCTCCCAAAGTGGAATTACTACAGACGTGAGCCACTGCACCCAGACCGAGTCATATTTTTTAAGAAATATATTTCATAAGGCTATTGCCATCATAGATAGTGATTCCTGTGATGGATCTGGGCAAAGTAAATTGAAAACCTTTAGGAAATGATTCATCATTCTAATGCCATTAAGAACATTGGTGACTCATGGGAAGATGTCAGAATATCAACAGTAGCATGAATTTGGAAGTTGATTCCATTCTCATGGCTAACTTTGAGGGATTCAAAGCTTCAGTGGAGGAAGTAACTGCAGATATGCTGGAAATAACAAGAGAATTAGAAGTGGAATCTAAAGATGGGACTAAATGGCTTCAATCTCATGATAAAACTTGAAGGGATCAGGCTGGTCATGGCGGCTCACACCTGTAGTCCCAGCACTTTGGAGGCAGAGACGAGAGGATTACTGAGCTCACAAGTTCGAGACCAGCCTGGGAAACTTGATGAAACCTTGTCTCTACAATAAATGAAAAAATTAGTTGGATGTGGTAGTACACGCCTGTGATTCCAGCTACTTGGAAGGCTAAGGCAGAGGTATCACCTGAGCCCAGCAGGTCAAGGTTGCCATGGTCGTGAGCGTGCCACTGCACCCCAGCCTGGGTGACAGAGTGAGACTAACTCATAAATAAATAAATAAATAAGTAAAACCAAACAAAATTTGAATGGATGAGGTGTTATTTCTTAGAGTTTAGCAAAGAAAGTGGGTACAAACAAAATAGATATTAACACAACGGACTAACAGAAGGGATTAAAAAAGTACAACCCAACTATATATATTGGCTACAAGAAACTCTCTGTAAATATAATGACATTGGTAAGTTGAAAGTAAAAGGGTGAGAAAAAGTTATACCATACAAACCTTAATCAAAAGAAAGCTGGAGTAGTTATAAAGTAGACATCAGAGGAAAGAAAATGACCCAGGATGAAGAGAGACTTTTAAGGGCCAAAAAAACCACAAAGGTTTATAAATCCTAAAAGTGTAGGCTCCAAATAGTAGAGCTGCATAGTAAGTTACTCAAAAACTGCCAGAACTAAAAGGTAGAAGAGATAAATCCACAGTTACACTTAGAGATATCAACAACCTTTCAAAGTAATTGATAAAATCACAATTACATGTCAGTATCTCAGAACTACTCTCTTTTATCAATACAAAAAAATTTTTAAAAAGTTGCCAAGGATGCAGAAGACATGAACAATATTATCAGCCACATGGAATGAATTGGTATTTATAAGCTATTCCACCCAGTGATAGCAAAATGAACATTATTTTCATATACAAAAAACATTCACTAAGATAAACAGTTTTTTGGTACATGAAACAAACAAAATTAAAATAATTGAGTGCATACATGTTATTTTTCTAAACTTCAGGTAAATATACTAGAAATTAGTAACAAAGATACTGGAGGAAAAAAAATCCCTCAAAGTCTGGAAATTTAACAAAACATTAAAAAAAACTCTAAGGACAAAAAAGTCACAAGGCAAACTAAATGTGTTTACTTGAATGAAAAGAAAATTACATTTTATCAAATTTGTTGAATGCAGATAAGACATTGCTGAGGGGAAATTTGACAGTTTTATAGCACGAATCTCTTATATTAGAAAGGGAAATTTTAAATCAATAAGTAAAGCTTACGCTTTAAGAAACTAGAAACTGTAATCCCACACTTTGGGGGGCTGAGGTGAGTGGATTGCCTGAGCCCGCGGGTTCGAGACCTACCTGGGTAACTTAGCGAGACCTCATCTCTATAATAAGTCAAAAAAAATTAGCCGGGTGTGGTTGCGCACCCTGTAGTTCCAGCTACCTGGAAGGCTGAGGTGGAAGGATCGCCGGAGCCCAGCAAGTCGAGGCTGCGGCCGGGAGTGTGCCATTGCACTCCAATCTGGGCCACAGAGTGAAACTCCGACTAAAAAAAAAAAAAAAAGAAAATCAATCTGTGTAATTAACCATTAATAACAGATTAAAAATAAACAAAAATGATCACCTATATCATAGGTTGGCAAACTTTTTATATAAGGGCTCAGATATATATTTTACCATCTATGGATCACATATAGTCTCTGTCACATATTCATCTTCTGTTTTTTTTCTTAACTATTTAAATATGTAAAAACTTTTTAGCTCACAGATTGTACAGAAACAGAATACAAGCCAGATTTGGTCATGGAACATAGCTTACTGACCAAGGATCTAAATAGATGCAGAAAAATCATTTGACAAAATACCTATTTATGATTTAAAAATTCATGATATGAAATTATCATGAACATCTATTCATGAGAAAAATTCTCAGCAAACTAAGAATAATAAAAAACTTCCTCAGATAGATGAAGGGCATTCAACATTTTCACTATGCTTCCTGGTGAAGAGGAGGGGTGGGCCATAGCTTTTTTCTTAGTGTTTGTGCAGAGTAGGGCAGGTGTATATGGTGAAAATGTTTCTGTCCTGCTTGGTCGCTCATTTCCCAACACTTTGGCTGGAAAGAACAAGGTTTTCTTGGGGTCTCTCTTGTCTGTGATCATTGGCATATCTGGATTGCAGGTCATCGAGAGCCAAGGCCGGGTGGTGTAAGAAGTTAAAACCAAAACCAAAAAGCTAGGAATTTCATCATTAGCTCATTCCTGAATCTCAGGTCCCTGGCCAGTTTTCTTCTTTTCCCCACTTTTCAGAATCATCTGTTAGCTGCATTATAAGTTTTGTATAGTGTGTGTTTTTTTTCTTTTGGTAATAGAGTAGAATGTGCTTATTCCATCTTTTCACATTCAAGGGGTTTCAGATAGCTTTTTTTTGAGTCGAGTTCTCACTGTTGCTCAGGTTGGTATGCAGTGTCATCATCATGGCTCACTGCAGCCTCAACCCCCTGGGCTTTGGTGATCCTCCAGCCTTAGCCTCCCGAGTAGCTGGGACTGCAGGCGTGTGCTACCATGCTCAGTTTCATTTTTGTTTTTCTATAGAGATGAGGTCTCACTCTTGAACTCCTGGGCTCAAGCAGTCGTCCTGTGTTGGCCTCCCAAAGTACTGCGATTACAGGAATAAGCCGCCTTGCCTGGCTTCAGTATAGCTTTTTAAAAACATGTATGACTAGTTCTCACTGTCATTTTTTTTTTTTTTTTTTTTGAGTTGGAGTCTCACTCTGTCGCCCAGACTGGAGTGCTGCAACTGCTCCTGGCTACTGCAACCTTGACCTGCTGGGCTCTGGCGATCCTTCTGCCTCAGCCTTCCAAGTAGCTGGAACTACAGGCGTGCACTACCACACCAAGCTAACTTTTTGATTTACTGTAGAGATGAGTGTTCTTGCCAAGTTGCCCAGACGGGTCTCGAACCTGCAGGCTCAGGCAATCCACTCACCTCAGCCTCCCAAAGTGCAGGATTACAGGCTGAGCCACCGAGTCCGGCTGTCATTTTGTTTTTTAAGCCAAAGGATTTTCTTTAGGCAACTTCTGTTATTTTATTAGCTTTTGAGTAGTATATTAACATAATATATATTGTTAAAATTTCACTTTAGTTTTGAGCATCTCTTTTTAGTCTTATCAAATTTTCAGCCTGTATAGATGTAAATTGCTTCCATGTTTTTTCTGAGTACCCCATAAGAGCTGGTTACATGGATTGTCAACTTTATTTTTTTTTTTGAGTTGGCACCTCACTGTTTCTCACACTGGAGTGTGGTGGCAAGATCTTGGCTTACTGCAGACTTGACCTCCTCAGCTCATGCCATCCTTTCACCTCGGCCTCCCAAGTAGTTGGGACTACAGGCACATACCACCAGGCCCAACTACTTTTAAATTTCTTTTTTTTTGTAAAAACAAGATCTCACTGTGTTGCCTAGGCTGGTCTCGAGCTCCTGGGCCCGAGCAATCCTCTTGCCTTGTCCTTACAAGGCCAGGGATTACAGGCATGCTGGCATTACAGCTGTGAGCCACCATTCCTGGGCTGTCAACTCACTTTTTAAAGATTCAATGATTTATTCTACTTTTTTAAAAAGTTTTTAAAGGAATAAATAATTGAGAGTTTATGATGGAAGATAGAGATTGTGAGCTGGAGAGCACAGTTTGAATTAGGTTAGATTTAATTTCTTGATTATTACCCAGCCTCATGTTTTTTAGACCATTGGGAGTAGTTGATATTCTTTTCCTCTGCCTGAAGACTTACAAGATTGCTGCTATAGCTCTGAAAGCTTAGTGTCTGTGCTGTCTTTAACATTAATAAGGTAAAAGAATGCATAGTGTATGGATTTGTGAATAATGTCTTGGCTATGTTAATATTTCCCTCCTGTCCTGCAAAAAAAGTTTAATAATAAAGAGGAGATTTCAGACCCAGAGAAGTTATACCAAGGTGTTTGCAGTTGGATGGTGGAATTTGAAAGATTATTAAAAATTTAATTGTTTTGTGTTTGGTAAGCATAAACTTTGAAATATCAAAAGAAATACGTCTTTACATCTTTTAGCATTTTATTTAAGGATAATGCCTTAACACCAGTATTTTTTTTTCTGTATCTTTTGATTGCTCAAAGGTGGGAAAGGTTTTTATTCCTGGACTGCCAGCTCCTTCTCTGACGATGTCCAACACAATGCCTCGGCCCAGCACTCCACTTGACGGCGTTAGTACTCCTAAGCCTCTTAGTAAACTCATTGGATCGTTGGAAGAGGTAAGGAGTGGATTAGGTGTTGTCAAAATTTAACACTGTTTTTAAAAATTTTGGTCAGATACTAGCTCTTTCTGTGGTTAATTTAATTTTAGATAATACTTTTAGAATAAATTCCTTCAAACCCAAATGATTAAGTTGACATATTACATATATCTACTTCCCTTGTGATGTGTGTGGTGCTTTTTGAAGGTACTGGAATGATGAAAATGGCTAATTCTTTTCCATCTAGGGACTCTTATAGTTTACTTGGGTGAATTGATGTACTGTCTGCATAAGAAATTATAATTTAAGGTAGACTTAAGACTTACAATGAGGAGCAGATAATACCATGGTAGATTCACTGATGGGAAGACACATCCCGATGGTATGATATTGCACAGCCAAAGCCTCATCTCTGAGAGGCACATCAGACTTGGTTTGGACCTTGAGGATAAGTAGAGTATCTGTTAAGAGACATTCCAGGCAAGGAGGAATCACAAAAGAAGAGGCAAGAAGGCCAGAGAATGAAGAATTTTTTTTATAGTCTTGGCCGGGCACAGTGGTTCAAGCCTATAATCCCAGCACTTTAGGAGGCCGAGGTGAGGGGATTGCCTGAGCCCATAGGTATGAAGACAGCCTGGGCAACTTGGTGAGATCTAATCTCTACAATTAATCAAAAATTAGCTGGGCATGGTATCATGTGCCCATAGTTCCAGCTACTTGAAAGGCTGAGGCGGGAAGATCATCTGAGCCCAGCAGGTCAACACTGGGGTAGCTGTGAACATGCCACTGCAATCAAGCCTTGGTGATGGAGTAAAACTCCAACTAAAAAAAAAAAAAAAGAATTAGTTACAGTCTTTCTCTGTTGCCCAAGCTGGAGTGTAGTGGTGTGATCATGGCTTACTGCAACCTCCAAACTCCTTGTCTTAAACAGTCTTCCTGCCGTTGCCTCTCAAGTGGCTGGAATTTTGGGCAGGAGCCACAACATGCAGCAGAACATATTTTTAAAAACAGATTGTATCTTTATCTCCTAGCACAAAGTAAGGACTCAATATATCTGTGGAGTGAATACTTACAAAAGTAGAAGTATTTGTTGGATGAGGCAATACAGAGGGTGGGATAACAACAACAACAACTTTTTGAGCATTTTCTATGTGCTAGTCACTGATCTAAGTGCTTTATCAGTATTAATTATGCCTTTAGAGCATATTTATTAAGAAGATACTATCATCCTTGTGTTACAAATGCAGTGGAGGTCACTTGTCTAAAGTCATAAAGCTAATAAGTGGTAGAACTGAGATTTTACCCTCTTACTAATGTGTTCTTAAAGGAAGAAAGGATAAAAAGGTGGTTTTAATCTGAATGTAGTTGCCAGGACACACAAGCTTTTGAGGAAAGAGTTGTGTGCATTAGGATCTGTGTTTTAGAGAGGTGTACCTTAGGATTAAAAATAAAGAAACCAGCTAGACTCCAGGTGAGATTGTCTGTGTCAATATCAGAGGTGTAAAGAGGGTCTGAGCAAGACAGTATGAGTGGAAAGGAGAGTGACATGAGAGACCTTGAGAGGTGGAAATGACAGAGTTTGTCAGCTGACTGGTTTTATGCTGCTGTGCTAGGGAGAGGTAGTGTGGAGCAAGGCTCAGCGTTCTCTGAGCGATCTGGGTAAGTGCCCGTACTTAACAAGGACAAAAGTGGTCTTTATATAAAGTATGTCTGAATACAGGTGTTTAGGGACAGTTCATAGGGAAGATTAGTGCTGGCGGTTAATTGTCTGGGCTCTGATTATATTTTTAAACATGTGCAACATTGAGCTTTTTCTCTTCAAGCCAGCATATTTGCAGAACATTCAAAAGAGGAACTGAAGACTGGGTGTGGTGTTTCATGCCTATAATCCCAGCACTTTGGGAGTCCTAGGTGGGAGGATTACCTAAGTCTGGGGGTTCGAGACCAGCCTGGGCAACTTGGCAAGACCTCGTCTCTACAATCAATCAAGAAAAATTAGCTGGGCGTAGGGGTGTACACCTGTAGTTCCAGTTACTTGGAAGACTGAACCCAGCAGGTTGAGGCTGCTGTGGCTGTGAGTGTGCCACTGCACTCCGCCCTGGGTGAGAGTGAGACTCTGACTCAAAAAGAAAAAAGAAAAAAAAGGTGGGCGGGGGGGAACTGGAGAAGTATCAGGGTGTTTTGTATGATTTGGAAAAATTTCTTTTATAATGGAAAACTTTTTCCAACTTTATAAGAATTTCATAAACCCAGAAGCAGTTAGTGCCTTTTTGCTAGCTGTAAGGTCACAGGGAGACACACTGGCTGATGGCTTTCCCACTTCTCTGGCTGATTATGCTACTGTACATAGAACCAGGACCAGTGGAGCTGAATTTTTCCTGGCAACTTTTGAAGTAGAAGCTGGCATCCGAGAGATAGATCTTAGGATTGATTGGCTGACAGTGTTGACAAAATATTTATTTAGAGATGGTCTACAAATTGAAGGAGTACAAAAAGGGTCTGTAGTCATGACTGAAGATTTAAAATTTGAAACATTTAGTTAGTAACTAAGATAATTTAAAATTTTTGTTTTTCGTATCTACAGTTAGTCAAATAAATGCTGTTCTTACATTTTTGAATAAATATTTGCCTATAGGGAAATACTGCTAAATACTGATCTCAGTTTTTTTTGCTTTAGTGCTCTTCTTTCTCCCTGGGCCCTTAGTGCCTTGCCTGCCTCAAATCACAGCTTATGCCTGTAGCCCTATAAGGTTGCTAAAGTCCTGCTGACTTCTCTTCCTCTTAGCCGTGGCCTTCCTTGTGTATTGTCAGCCTTTCCATATGTTTCTTCACCACCAAAACTTAATAATGTCCAGGGCAGGAAAAGCAGGATAAGAATGTTGTCCTGGGCAACCCCCTTGGGCCCCCTCTCACTCTGGGAGCTTTTCTGTCCTCTCAATAAATCCTGCTTTCCAAAAAAAGAGAGAATGTTCTCCTCCCACCCCTTTTCTCCTATATCTTGGCTCCTGAAGTCTGTGTTGTGCTCACAGCATTCCAGTGCTGTCAATCAGATGTTTTTGCTTTTATCTACCATTCTGATTGTTTTTTGTGAGGGCCTTGGTTTGGTGTAAGGTATTTCATTGTAGCTGGAGCAGAATTTTTTTTTTAAGAGACGGAGTGTCACTCTGATGCCCAGACTGGTATGATCATAACTCACTGGACTTAAAACTCTGGGCTCAAGTGATCCTCTTGCCTCAGCCTTCTGAGTAGCTGGGACTGCAGGTGTGTGCCACCGCTCCTAGCCTGGAGCAGAATGCTTTTGAATCATTACATATAATTATTAGTTAGACCATATGCAGACACACAATTGCTAAGTTTTTTTTAATCGTTAATTTATCAGAAAATAATTCATTTTTGTTATACTTATTGCTTCTTGCAGGTTGTTTTATTGTCCCCAGTTCCAGAACTGAGGGATTCTTCAAAACTTCATGATTCTCTCTACAATGAGGATTGTACTTTCCAACAGCTTGGAACTTATATTCATTCTATCAGAGATCCTGTCCATAACAGAGTAACTCTGGTAAGTGTTTTTTTAAAACATTAGGCGGCTTTCCAAGAGAGGTACTGCATTTCACATTTTTCAGAATCCGGCATTTTGTCTGAAAAATACAAACATTTCTCATGACCTAAAAGTCTGTTGTAACCCACTCCAAGCTGGTCCACCACCATCCAAGCTGGTGCCAGGCCCACCATCCCTAGGAGCTGGAACTGAACCTTGTGCTCCCAGGCCACTGACAACCTGCCAAGTACAGCGATAACAACAGACAAATACATGCCCGTGTTGAGTGTGTGAGCCCGACATTTGACTGACTGCTCATTGCTCGTCCGTCCCCCAGTGCTGTTAGATGTCATTCTTCCTGTGTTACAGATAACCTTAGTAACTAGCTTGCGGCAGCATAAAAAACGTGCCACATATGCAGACGGAATTTTCCTCCATATCTTTCTGACCACAAAACTCATCGACTCCGTCACCATACTTCAGGAATTATGCCTCCCTGGGCCCTACCGATCCTTCTCATACTCTTGTATTGACCTTAAATCGATAGGTTTAAAAGAACTTAGTCCTGTCTTCCCTGGAGTCTCACTTTCTGCAGGGGCTTTTCACTGCCACTTTCTTTCTAATGGATTAAGCCTTGTAATGATGCCATTTGTCTGAATCTGTACAGTCCATTTGACTCTGTTCTTTGTACATGGGTGTGCTTGGCAGAAGGCAGTCTAGACAGCGGTCAGTCTTCTGAAGCCCCTGCTGCCTGGTCTTGCCTGCCTCATCTCCTTGCTGCCTGTGCTCCAAGGACTCTACCCTTAAATAAAAACATTTTAAACAACGATAAATAAATAAATAAAATAAAAGTCTGTTCTAAGTTTTTTTTTTACAACTTTAGTTTTGACAGTAATTCTGCTGAAATTTTCTGAAGTTTACATATTATTCAACTTTTATTAAAAATAAAAGCTTAAGCCGGTCTCGGTGGCTCAGCCTGTAATCCCGCGCCTTTGGGAGGCTGAGGTGAGTGGATTGCCTGAGCCCGCGGGTTCGAGACCTGCCTAGGCAAGTTGGTGAGACCTCATCTCTATAATAAATCAAAAAAATTAGCTGTGTGTGGTAGCACGCACCTGTAATTCCGGCTACTTGGAAGGCTGAGGTGGAAGGATCACCGGAGCCCCAGCAGGTTGAGGCTGCGGTGGCTGGGAGCGGCCACTGCACTCTACTCTGGGTGACAGAGTGAGACTCCAACTGAAAAAAAAAAAAGTCTCTTTCTTTTGATGGTGACTCTTAGTGTCTGAATAAAAACTAAACACTCTTTATTAAAACAAGAATTTTTGAAAATATTTTTCCAGTAAGTATATTTATAGTTTTTGGAAGTTGGAACAGTTCACTTGTTTGAAAATATGTGTTTCATTTATTTTGTTGACTTTTGCTCTGACAGGCAAACAATCTTGTAAAGCATCAGCTATTTTGAGGACATTCAAAGAGTTAGAATGCACAAATTCTGTTTCCTATCTCATTTATTTCTGTTCTTTTCACTAGGAACTGAGTAATGGCTCCATGGTCAGGATCACTATTCCTGAAATCGCCACCTCTGAGCTAGGTATGATTGAGAGTCAGACCTCATGTCTGTGTGCTCTCAGTTTGATTTATAAGATTTGGAGTAGTTGTGATTTACATGAATAATTGGGATTTTAAAGATTATTTTGCCATTTTTGAAGCCATTGGGTCAAGTTTTTCGCTTTGCAGAGAAACTTTAAAGAGCTAGCGAGTGCTTTGTAATACTTATGTGTGCTCTAAGGCTAGAATATAGTTGAAGGATGTGCTAATTCTGTTTCTCTGAGATTCTTATGTTGAAAAATATCATATGGTGAAAAATGGCCATGAATCTTGCAAGAAAATCCAGGAAACAGGAAGCTTAAGCAACTAACTTATTTCTTGGCATAGTTAATGATGTTTTTAATCTTAAATTTAATTTTTCAAGTTTTAGATAAATTGTGAAATTAATAGAATTGCCTTAGTTGAATAAAACTTAGTATTATAGTCAAAACATAATCAGAAGCATTTAAATAAATATTGGATTCTGCTTGAATTATCAGCAAAATGGAATTTAGAAGATACTAAGGGAGAATATTTTTGAATATAGAATAGTAAACAGATGTTAGAATTAAAGGAGTTTGCCAACAAATGTATGTTAAGAAAAGAATGCTGGCTAGCTATGTTGGCTCACACCTGCAGTCCCAGCACTTTGGGAGGCTGAAGTGGGAGAATTGCTTGAGACCAGGAGCTTGAGACCAGCTTGGGCAACAGAGCGAGATCCCATCTTTACAAAAACTAAAAAAATAAAAATAATTTGCCGGATGTGCGTGTAATCACAGTTGCTTGGAGGGCTGAGGTGGGAGGATTGCTTGAGCCTAGGAGCTTGAGGCTGCAGTGAACCATGATCATGCCATTGCGCTCTAGCCTGGGCAATAGAGCAAGACCCTATCTATTCAGAAAAAAAGAAAAAGAAAAAAGGAAAGAAATGCCTGTATGATATAATAAAGTTAATGACATCTTTTCTCTTGGTTTCAAAATCAACTACCAAAGCAAGGCATTGGCACGTTGTAGAGTAGTATGACTTTTTCATTTTAAGAATTTCCTTTCATTGATTAAAAGGTATTTCAGGTTGATGTTTGCATTTCTGAAAGGTCTTTTGTTAGTAATCGCAAGGCTAAGTTCCTAGAAGTATTATAAGCCTAAACATAATATATAAAAACAAAGAATAATGAGGGAAATAAAAATAAAACCTTACCTGTTTATAGCCAAACAGAAGTCACATAGTTCATGAACATGTTTATGTACTTTTCTTATAGGGAGTTTCTCACACCTACATGCAGCATTGGTTGTACATTTACTTTGGATTCAGCTGTGACATACTTGGTTATTTGGTGTTTTTATAGGCATTGACATTTTCCTTCAATCTTACTGTGTGTGTGCACATAGCAAATTGATGAGAAAAAGAGGACAAGAGAAGAATCCTCTAAAGAGAGGATATGTGAATGCAAAAATTGCATTTGAGATCATTTGCTACTAAAAGCACACCAAGACTCTTCACAGCAGTAGCCCTGGCCACTTATTTGAGGGGCTCACTGTATGACAGTGTAGTACTGTTAACTGATGTTCATACTAATGACTTTGAACCATTAAGAATAGTATAATTCTGTGGTATTTAATTTGTTTAAGGCAGGGAAAGCATGTAAAAATTTTTAAAAATAAATACTATCAGAAGTAATTAAAAGTTATAAAGCTTTGGTTACAGGAGTGTTCACTCATTTAGAACATCTTGTAATGCTAAGCATTGCAATTAGTGGATGCATGTATTGAATGTTATATATCTACTGACGTATTTAAGCAATATTTTTTATAAATTTATAAACATAGAAGCTATGTTTATAAAAGGTCCATAGAATGACCTTTAATTTGTCATCCAAACTAGGTTATATTTGAGAGTTAAAGTGGGAGCTATTAGAGATAGTTGGAGCAGTAGATGTAAATCAGGACTGTCTCAGGTAAACTGGGCTGTTTGGCCACCTTATTTCTGATCCAGAATTAATGATTGAAAAGCTGCTCTCAGACCTCTTGCAAGCCCTGTTGAATTCAGTAGTTGGTTTAAGTTTCAGAGGACTGGCTAGGTTATCCCACTGCTCTTTAATGACAGTTCTCTTTTCATAGTAATTGACCTTTACATAGTAGAAGTTAAAAAGCTTTTTTATTGTAAGAGAAAAAGAAATGCATGCAGAGTAAGCATATTAAAGTTGATCTTTGCTTTTAATAGTACAAACATGTTTGCAAGCAATTAAGTTTATCCTGCCGAAAGAAATAGCCGTTCAGATGCTTGTCAAGTGGTACAATGTCCACAGTGCTCCAGGAGGACCCAGTTATCACTCAGAGTGGAATTTATTTGTGACTTGTCTCATGAACATGATGGGTTATAACACTGACCGCTTAGCATGGACTCGAAATGTAAGTAAATACAGTGTTCTCTTCACGTAATGGTTGCATAATTGGTAATATAGCATTCAGAGTACCTAAGAGTACCTAATTTAAGAATAGACATAACTTATTCAAAATAATAGAATAATACTAAAGTTTATTGTATCTATATATTGTAAATAAGTCTAAGTTTAATAATATTTTACTTGTAATTACAATTATTGAGTCTTTATAATGTGTTAAAACACATGCTGTTATTTTTCATTTCATTTTTGTAAAATGACTGCAAGTTATGCTAGGATTAGTAATAGTCTTGGTTTTATTGATAAAGAAATTGAATCACAGAGAGATCACAGACCTGTGTCTTCTGACTCTTGGCATACCATTCTTTTCTGAAGACATATTGTTTTTTACACATGTATTGCTTGTTTGTGAGGAGGAAAGGTTTGACTTGAGGGGTATTTCAAATGCATTAGCTTAAGTGTGTACTCTGTTATTGCTATAAAGCCTTATTTCTCACCATCTGCCCCCAGAAACATTCTTATAGGCCCTTTTTAGATTATTTACAAAGTCAACAGGGTAGCGCTTTCAGTGTTGGTGATTCTCTTTTAGCTGTGGACGTCACTCCCAGGACAACCTTTCCTGGGTCACTCTGAAGAAGTCACTCTAGATTACACTTACTTTTGATCAGGTAACTCAGCTGTCCTGTCTATACATTTTAGCCTTGTACTAGCAAATCCATTTTTTATTATGAAAGGAAAATTTGAAAAATGGATGAATTATGAAGAAAATAATTATCACTACCTTTTTGATGTTGCCTTCTAAATAAAAATATCAATGAAAATTTATCATACCATTAACTGTTTTAAAAAACCCATTATTTTATGGTTTAATCGTAATTAATCATTAATAATTATGCATTGTTGAATTTGGTTTTATTATGACTAATCTGCAAACATTCTTTTCACACAAATCTTTAACTACATCTCTAGTCATTTCCCAAGAATTGCATCTTAAAAGAGGTATTACTGAGTCAAGTAATGTTTGGAAAGGGTTTCCAATTGACATTCTTACCAGCATCATTTAAAATTTCCATTTCACCACATGAATTACCATACTTGTGGTATGGTGAACTTTTGCCAACTTTGGGAGAAATTTAAAGTATTTTATTCCTGTATGAGTAAATGGGAATGGTGTTTTCAACTTCTCATTGGTCGTTTATAGTTTGTATTTGTATTTTTTATTTTTATTATTTTATTATTTTTTTTGAGTTGGAGTCTCACTCTGTCGCCCAGACTGGAGTGCAGTGGCCGCTCCCGGCCATCGCAGCCTCGACATGCTGGGCTCCGGCAATCCTTCTGCCTCAGCCTTCCAAGTAGCTGAAACTACAGGTGTGCGCTACCACACCCGGCTAATTCTTTTGATTTTTATTATAGAGATGAGGTCTCACCAAGTTGCCCAGGCGGGTCTCGAACCCGCGGGCTCAGGCAATTCACTCACCTCAGCTTCCCAAGGCACAGGATTACAGGGTGAGCCACCGAGCCCGACCTATAGTTTGTATTTTTAAAATTTGCGTTTCATGTCCTTTGCCTGTGTTGCAATCTCTTCTGATAGCCTCTCTGGTAAAGTCAGATCATGCTAGTCATGTCTGTTCTGCACCCTCCAGTGGCTTCTCATCTCACTCAGAATAAAAGCCTTAGGCCTACAAGATACCATGTGACTCAACCCTCTTTTACCTTTCTGGTCTTATTTCTTTCAAGGCATTGCACATGTTATCTCAGCCTCATTGACCTCTAGTCTATTCCTTGAGTACTCAAGCATGTTTCTGTCTTAGGTGTTTGCATTTGCAGTTATGTCTGGAGAATACTTGGTCTTTATTCAAGTATCACCTCAGTGCTGCCTGTCATGTCTATTCTATGTAGAATTATGCCCCCCCCATACCTTTTGTTATATTTAACTGCTTTATTTTTCTCTTACCATTCAGTTGAATATAACATAATATATATATTTTACTTTTTAATTTTATTTGTCCCTCCTCCTCCCACTGGAACGTAAAGTCTATGAGGGCAGGGATTTTTGTTTAATTTTGTTGACTATTGTCTCTCTCTAGGACCTGCACTAGTACCTGGCATAGATGAACATTTCTTGAATGAGTGAGATTATTTTTCAGAGTTTTTGTCTTTTGTAGGATATGAAATAATTGCCCTTTGCAGTTTCCTTGAGAAAAAGTCTTACTGAGAAATTAGGGTCATTTTTTTTCTTATTCCAAATAATTGCATTAAAGCTATCTTATCCTCAGTTTTTCCATCCTTTGTTACATATGAAAAGATTGAGCCTCATAGAAACTGAGAACTTCTTCATGATGAAAAAGCACTTTTGCTTTGTAGTTTTTTGTGTAATTGTGTTGTGGAACTTGTTGACAAATGTAGATTGTTTTGCTGTATAGTCTCTGACAGAGAACCAGTGCCCTCTCACATTTCCATGGTATTGAGCACTTGCCCTTTTTGTTTTGTTAAGGAGGACATGATTGAGAGGCAGAGAATATATAGTCCCAGCTACTTGGGAGGCTGAGGCAGAAGTATTGCCTGAACTCATAAGATCAAGCCTTCAGTGAGCCGTGATCATGCTACTGCAGCTACTGCACTCCAACCTGAGTGACAGAGGGAGACTTTGACTTAGGAAAAAAAAAAAAGGACATGTCTCTTTTACTTTTTGCGTGATAGCTCTAAAGGAAGAAATAAGGGAATTCTTTCTTTTTTTTTTTTTTTTTTGAGTTGGAGTCACTCTGTCACCCAGACTGGAGTGCAGTAGCCACTCTTGGCCACTGCAGCCTCGACCTGCTGGGCTCCGGTGATCTTTCCGCCTCAGCCTTCCAAGTAGCTGGAACTACAGGTTCATGCTACCACCTCAGCCTTCCAAGTAGCTGGAACTACAGGTTCGTGCTACCACACGAATTACCCGGCTAATTTTTGATTTATTATAGAGAGGAGGTCTCGCCTAGTTGCCCAGGCGGGTCTCGAACCCGCGGGCTCAGGCAGTCCACTCACCTCAGCCTCCCAAAGCGCAGGATTATAGGCTGAACCACTGAGCCCGGCTGGAAATTATTTCTTAAGACCTAGTTGCATTTCCATTTATTTACAGGACTGCATAGTTAAAACCTTGCTAACTTTTGTCCTCAAGAAACTTAAGTTGAAATAGTTCTCATTGGCAAATAGTTTTCATTTTGCTTTGTTGAGATTTATCATCTTTTTGTTTTGCTTTCTTTGTTTTTTTTTTTTAGGAGACTTACTCTGTTGCCTAGGCTGGAGTGCAGTGGCACGTTCATGGCCACTGCAGCCTCAACTTGCTGGACTCAGGTGATCCTTCTGCCTCAGCCTTCCAAGTAGCTGGAACCATAGATGCACGCCACCATGCCCAGCTAATTTTTGATGTATTATAGAGATGAGATCTTGCCGAGTTGCCTAGGTTGGTCTTGTATTCCTGGCTCAGGCAGTCTTGCCTCTGACTCCCAAAGTGCTGGTATTACAGGTGTGAGCCACCGGACCAGCTTCTTTTTGTTTTCATGTAAATAATACGGTAGACAGTGTAAAATTTCTGCCAATGACTAGTTGCCTAATTTTTTGCTTTTCTTTGGACTTTAATTTACTGATATATAAAATTAGAGCACTGAATTGTACAATCTATGAACAGTTGCATTTGGGGTTAACTTTGTGGCTCCTTTGAGATGCTCTTTTAAAAAAAATTAGATGAACCCTTGCTGTGGGTCAGGTACAATGCCAGGTTTCTCAGATATACCTTAGGGAAGACAGACTGTTCTCATGGAATTGACTGCCTCGGGGGAGACAAATAAATAATATTTTACATACATGTTATGATAGATTGGGGTAGTGATCCATAGGAGAATGTAATAGGTTTAGCTAACCTGATATACATTAAAAGAATAAAGAAAGCAGATCCATGTGTGGCACAAAGAGCTACCCTGTCAGGTAGTTTCTGCTGTGCTTTCCCATAACTCTGGGTCTTACGAATCTGATAACCATAGGAGGGACTTTTTTTTTTTGGTCTGTGGAACTTTGTAAATGTGTGTTATATTTTGATTAAAGTTTTAGATAAGATAGCTCTGTCATTTCATCTGTTGCTTTGATTTCACTGTCACTGCCAGCTTTTTGAAAATGTTGGTGTGATCTGGGTTGTTTGTTATTTGCTGTACAAGAAAACCTTTCCATACTATATAATTTTAAAAATTGCTTATCCTAACTACTCAGGAGGTTGAGGTGGGAGGATCTCTTGGGGCCAAGAGTTCAAGACCTGCATGCCCACATAGCGAGAACTAGTCTTTAAAAATAAAAAACAAAACAAAACAAGAAAACAAATTACCCAGACCTGGTGATGCAAACCTATAGTCCTAGCTACTTGGCATGCCGAAGCAGGAGGATCACTTGAGCACAGGAGTTTGAGGCTGCAGTGAGCTATGATTGCACCACTGCACTCCAGTCTGGGCAGCAGAGTGAGACTCTGTCTCTAAAACAATAAAATAAAAATCACTTTATTGCTATTCATGTATGTTTATTTTTTATATAGAAGTCAACTTTTTTCACATGAAAGAGATTGATTAATATGTAAGTTGTTATGGCATAGGAAAATAGCCATTTCCATTTATTTATAGAGTTATGATTTATTGCTAGTTCAATGCCCATGTATAGTAGCCGGGATGGCAAAGGTTATGCCAGAGCAAACTGAAGACAAATGACTTAGAGAACAGTTTTATGTAGTTGTATTCCTTAGAGGATACGCTGTTTTAACAGAAGGGTCCTAAAAGATACACTGGTTCAAACACAATAAATATGTGTATCTTGCTTACAGAACTGTCCTTAGCAGGTAAACAGGCTACATGGTTATTCAGGAACCCAGGCTGATGGAGGATCTTGTATCTTCGGTACAAAACTTCAAAGATTGCCATAGGTTGACCTGGTGTGGTGGCTCATGCTTGTAGCCCCAGTACTTTAGGAGATGGAGGTGAGAGGACTGCCTGAGCCCAGGAGATAGAGACCAGCCTGGGCAACTTGGCAAGAAATAAAAAAAGTAGCTGAATGTAGTTGTGTGTACCTGTAGTTCCAGGTAATTGGAAGGCTGAGGCAGAAGGATCTCTTGAACTCAGCAGGTCAAGGCACATGCTACTGCACTATATCCTGTGACAGAGCGCGACTTTGACTCAAAAACAAAACAAAACAAAAGATTGCCATGGGCTAACTCCATTCCAGTGAAGTGGAAGGGGCAGAGGGTCTGGAATAGCAGGTAGCTTTCATGGACTGGGTCTGGAAGTGATGACCTTCACTGTTACTCATAGTCACTCTGTTACAGGGCCACACATCTAACTTGTAGTCTGGCTGTGGGTCTAGGAAAAAGAGAACAAAGATTTTGGAGTGCAACCATCTGTCTCTATCATAGAATTGTAAGGTGGCCCACTGTAGATGACTCTAAGTGAATGTCTGTTTAGTTCTAATATTTGACTAATACTGGCTTTATTCTTTGAGACTTGGCATATTGTGACTGTTCCTAAAGTTTCTTCTTTTACTGAAGGTGTGATATAATCTGTGTCATTACAGAAATAGAGGGAAAGACGCTACCATCAAAATGCCTGTGAGTCCAGGCACTGTACTAGATGCTTTGCATATGTGATTTCATTGTGTCTTCACAGAATAAAGATATTTGTATTCTGATGTTCCAGATGGAAAATGAGTTTTGATGGCTTTCCTCAGTTTCCCTAATTGGTAGCGCTGATTCCTGAATCCTTTCAGTTGATCAGTTGACAGTAATACATTTATGATTCTGTCTTATCTTTTGGGGCATTTTACAGTTTGACTTTGAAGGATCACTTTCCCCAGTCATCGCACCCAAGAAAGCAAGGCCTTCTGAGACTGGCTCTGATGATGTAAGTATTGTTATTTTTTGCTAATGTCATTAATTTATTGATACTCATATTGATACTCATACTAGTTTCCTACTTCTGTGGTATTCTAGTCAATTTATCTCTATTTCCAACACCTTTTGTTTTATTTATTTTAATGCTGAGTAGCAGTTATTTTAAAGAGCAGGATCTATTTTGTTTTCTGTGGTCACTTATTCATTTTTGTTTTAATGATTATCCAAAAATTATTGTGAATGTATGTATTCTTATATGATTAAAGTTTGAATTTCTAGATATTACCAACTGATCACCAAAAGTGACAGCACTTACCTTTTAATGCAATGTTTCTCTAATTTAGGTTCTTTTCATTTTATTTATTATTTATTTATTTATTTACTTTTTTTTTTTTTTTTTT